TGCTGCATTACATATGATCTGCTGTGCTCAGAGTACTGGGCCTCCCCCAAAACTCCACCAGAGCCTGAAATTCCTAGTGGGACTTAAGTGTTTCCAGAGGGTGGGGTACCTCAGAGTGAAAGGAGGAGGTCTGCCTCCCTCCTGTTTTTAATTTGGGCAGTCACCCCCGTAGTATCACATCATCTGCTAGAACTGGGGCAACCAGGATGGGCACACGGTGTTTATAATTCACAGCAGTCCATTTCTTTGTGCCCTGTAGTGTCTCAGAGTGCACCACCTCTCTGGATCCTAGTTAGTCTTTGGCTCTGCCCCCACTCCTATCTGAAACTGAGGAGAGGGTAAGGTGGGAGTGGAGGGAGGTTCAGCAAAAGATTTTTCCCTGGGAAAGTCTCCCCTCCCCCGCCACAGGATGACATGGTCCTTGCTGGCTTGGAGTTTAGGTCACTTACCCTGGAGGCCTTGGTCCAACCTTGTGTTTCACTGCTGGGGGTGCCAGGCAGGAAAACCAGCAAAGGGTAGGAGAAGTCAAGTGGAGGGAAAAATATGCAGGCACCAGGGTAATATAAACCATTTCAAAGCAATAGGCTAAGGGCCTTTCACCTCCCATCCCATCCTTTCAGCAGGGCTGGCCGCCTTGAGTCACTGCAAGAGGAGTTTGGCCCCAATCCACAGGGTTTCTGCTTGAGGGGCTGGAAGAGTTTGAACAGACGCACCCCAAGGCAGGGAAGGCAATGCCAGCCCTGATGCTTCTTCCACAGCGGTGGAGTGTTTGGGGGTGAGGGTAATCGGCAGTGCTGACCTGGGCTCCTCCCCACCTGTGAGTCTGGAAGTTGTCAGGTGAAGCACCAGCAGAGCTTGAGTGAAAACCGGGGGTGGAGACGGGCAGAAAGAAGGACGCACAACCCGCTGGGCACTCTCAGGTCAGGGGCCTTCACGTCACTTCTGGGCCCCGCCAGGCCTCGCCAACGTGCGGTGGCCTTTCCCTGCTGGGTCTGGTCAGGCCGGGGTGGCGCGTGGCTGATCGCGGAGCGCTGACGGGCCAGAGTCTGCCTCCCGCCTATCTTTACCCAGCCAAAGGCTCTCACCTTCCGCCGTAGCTGCAAAGCTCAACACCAGCGCCTGCCGGGGCGGCGGACGCCCGCGAGCTCAGCCCGCCAGGGCCCCGCCCCGCCCACCAAGGGCTCCGCCCCACCCCGCCCCACCAAGGCTCCGCCTGCGCGTCAGACCTCCGCCCTCCCTTGGCGGTGCGCTCACCTCTGGCGACCATAATAGGTTCCAACCGGATGTGACGTTTCTGAGAGCGGCGAGCCGTCAAGGGAGCAGTGGACTGACTGCTTCCTGAGTTACACCTGATTGTAACCGGGCACAGTGAATTACGGCTTTCTGTGGTCATCGCCGCCGGTGTGACTCATTTTAGTACTACTAAGGTCCGGTGGCTTTACAGAAAAGGAATAAAAAGAGATGGGCATGGTGGCGCACGCCTCTGATCCTGGTGGCTCCGGAGGCTGAGGCAGGAGGATCATGAGTTCAAAGCCAGCCTCAGTAACTTAACAAGGCCTTGTCCCTCAATAAAATGTAAAAAGGGCTAGGGATGTGGCTCAGTGGTTAAGCACCCCTGGGTTCAATCTCCAGTGCTAGATAAAAAAATGGGGCGGGAAGGTTGTATGTTTACAAACTTTGCTGGGACAACAAAAAATCAGTCTGCATTGTTCTAAAATTAACTTCTTTGGGCTGGGTGTGCATCACAGTGGTAGAGCGTTTGCCTAGTATGTATGAGGTCCTGGATTCCATCTCCAGTACCTCAAAAATAAATAAGTAAAAAACAATAAAACGAACTTTTGTCATGGCTGTGATGGAGGCAGTGGTGCCTAAAGTACTCGCTCCTTGGAGGTGCAAAGTGTTGTAGTACCTTTTTTTCAAATAAACATGATTTTAAATTCATTTGTGTGGAAATTTATTTTAAAATGTATTTGGGGTTAGAAGTGTAGCTCAGTGGTAGAACACTTAGCCTGTCAGGCTCAGTTTGGATTCCCAGCACTGTAAAAAAGAATGTTGTATAGTTTAATATGTGTTTATGACATATAAGCAAATGTTCAAATGTTGGGCATGCATGCTTAAAGGGCTTTGATATATAAACCATTAAAAACATTTGCAGCTATAATTCCAGGCTGTTCTTTAGCCATAGAGAACCAATAAGTACACCACTTCTGTGCATGTACTTAGCATCCTGGAACATTCATACTATCCCTCTCAAATGGTACTGTGGTGGCGGTGGTGGGGTAGATTCCTGACAGAAGCAGGTGGTACTTGGAGCTAGGATACGTGAGATGGCTAGGCTGGAACAAGGATATCTAGTTCCAAAAGAGAAGTCATCTGGACTGAGAGACCGCTATAACAAATGATAGCAACGACCAGAACAAATGAATGTACTTAAGATGGGAGATCCACCACTGTATTGTATTAAAGGGCCACAGTGCTGACTCTGAGAGGCAAGCTTAGCTCCTACTCTCCAGGTAGGGGCCTCCAGAAATATTTTGTGGTAAGTAAGCATGCATAGAGGGCATATACAAGCATATGTACAAGTATATGACACAGGGATGTATGGTGACAGCTGTTGTTTTTGCCTATCTAGCATAAAGTCATAGAACTTATGTTTTCTCTGAAAGAACCATCCATTCTCCGCTTTCAGTTCAGTACACATGGTTTCAATGTGATAATCCCAACACTGGCTCCTGGGGCAGGCACATGCCCAGATGTAGCCAGTTAAAACCACTCATTTTTTTTGGCAGAATAAGCCCATAATCCAATCTAGACTAAGGAGTTAGTCCCTAGGTACTTGTACTGAAACTACTGGGAAGGTGGGAGGTCTTGTTTGCTGGTGTTACTACACTGGCACCTTTACTATTTCCCTCCCTCCCACTACCTGGGAAGACAGCATATTGGAAAAATGAAGCAAATACAGAAAAGCAGAGCCAAGGACTGGAAAGAACCCATGTCCTAGTGACATTATTGGAGCTAGAAGCACCCAAGGGTTTTGGGGCCCATTAAAGGAACAATAAATACCATCCTTCTTTTTTTTCATACATCAGTTTCAGTTTGGATTCTGGCACTTGTAACTGAAGATGTCTGAACTGCTAAAGGGTTGACCTTGGGTAGGAGGAGCATGATATCCTGGCAAAAGATTGCAGGAAACTCATCCAGACTCTGCTCCCCACCATCAGCTTCCTGGCCCATGTTGGGCCAACTGGGGAATAAAGTGGGCCTGCTGTTTACATCTGTTACATGGGCAACACCCCACTGGGGCACAGCCTCAAGGAAGAAGGAACTATCACTCTGGCTCTCTCATGTGTTCCTATTCTGCAGCACAGTGGTTGGTCCTACACAGGCACTTCATGAATGTTTGGTGAACAAATGGACAAATGGAGGAAAATTGGACAATCACAGCACATTGGGAGGCATAGTGAGGTCTGTACACTTCCCAGCCTTACACGGAGTACCCTCAGTGAGGTTCCGTTTCATCTTGGGCAAGCTACTAACCTGTGGAATTGTATACACCTAGCTTCTAACCTCTAGGCTCCATTGTAACTCTTTAAGCTCACAGGGTCCTTTACTTTTTTCTGTACAGTGAGGATAATGGCCAAATTTTGTAGGGTTTGCTTCAACATATAGGGAGTACAGGTGTGCAGATGAGACATTAGCCATGTATTGATTACTATAGAAGCCTGGTAAAGGGTACATTGGAGTTGATCATATTATTCTCTCTACTTTTGGAGATGTTTGAAATTTTCCATAGTAAGATATTTAAGAAATGAGCCAGGCATGGTGGACATGGATGTAATCCCAGTGACTTGGGAGGCTGAGGCAGTAGGATTGCAAGTTGTTAGAGGCCAGCCGCAGTGATTTAGCAAGACTCTGTCTCAGATTAAAGATAAAAGGGCTAGGATGTAGCTCAGTAGTAAAGCACCCCTGAGTTCAATCCCCAGACTGCAAATTTTTTTTCTAGAAATAAATACACCTTTGATACTGTAGTGGTGGGTACATGTCATTACACAATTTTGTCAAAACTCAGAATGTACAATGCCAAGAGTGGACCCTAATGTAAACCAATGTAGATTCATTGATTTTTAACAAATGGAGGATGGGGGGAGACACTATATTTTTTGCTTAGTTTTGCTGTGAACATAAAATAGCTCTAAAATGTTTCCTAGAAAAAGGGAATACACTATTATGAGCTTGGCATAGGCTCAGGGCTGGGCATTGGCTGCTACGAACATCATCTACATGCAGGCTGAGCCATCCTCATTTCTCTGGTTTGATCTTTGCAGTTCTGGCATAAAAACTACTTTCTTCCTGGTGGGCCTTTTTTTCCTGGGCACTCCCATGCCTCTAACTTGATATCTATCTGCCCTTGACTTTCATTCTGAAGGTTTGCTTTGCACTCAGTACTTTCCCTGGGTCTGGAAGCACTTAATGCCTAGGAGTTGAAGGCTCAGAAAGCCTGTCTGCACAGCAGGATCCTAAGTCCATCACCCCCTAACACAGATACTTCAAGAATGCCTGACTGTCTTCTCAAATTACCACAATGTCCCGATTCCTCCCATCTGGGAAGTCCAAGCCACCCTTTCTTGTTTTTTGGAACTCAGAGTGCTTTTACACCCCTTATTTGGTATGTCAGCACCTTGACTGGTTTTAGTTATTTTACTTGTCCCTACAGGTGCATTGTGGGTGGGAAGAAGTTGGTGAGTTTCCTTGGGTCCCAGAAGACAGAACCATGTCTCCAGTTAAGGCTATGGGTGACACCAAGTGGGGAAGTACTCTGCTTACCACTTGAGTCACATCTTAGCCACTGGGGCGGGGGGGGGGAGGCTGTCAATGGCAGGGGCCCTATAGAGAAAGGCTGTCTACTAAGGCTGTGGGGACAGGTTGGCTGAGTCTCTAGGACTTATCCCCTCCATGCACATAATACCACCCCTGACTCTCCACTGAGGACAACATCTGAATGCATTTCATTCCATTGGGGGCCATCAATTTATTAAGAGGTCATCTAGAAGGTGGGCCCTCTGACAAACCGCATACTGCCATGTACTGCATTAGGGGCTGTGACCAGGCTCTGGCTACCTCACTATCGAAGGCCAGTCTGCTCTAAGGGCCTCTCTCCTGCTGAGAGTGAGGTTAGAGGCAGGCAGGCATGTGAAAGTGCTTACTAGTTTTGGCTCACTGAAAGCAATCACACTGTAAGCAAGTTTGGACCACAATATAGTGAGTGTGTCTGGAAGGGAGAGGTTCTGGAAGATGCCCCAACCTGCCAAGTAGCTACTACAGTGAGAAGAATGGGCACCTAGAGCCTTTGCAGCCAGGGGCACTTGGGAATTGGGAAGGAGATGACATGAGTGGAAGAAAGGGCAAAGTGGGGGCTGACTGGGACCAGCTTTAGGAAAAGGAGATGGGTACCTGGGCTCCTATGACAAAGTATGATGGGCCAGCTCCACAGTCCCCATCATCTTGGGGTCACTGCCTCAGAGCCCTGATGTGTTGGGGCTGGGGAGCCTCCTGCCTGGGCATGGGGCAAGACCTCGACTCTGTGTTGGCACCATGCAGACTCCCTCGGCCTGGTCCTGGTGATTGGCTGTGCTAGCTGGCCACACTTCTCCGCGGGATGCAGCCTTCCATCTCCAGCGCCTCAGGCCAGCCCTCATACTTGTTGGTGTGCTTACTGTTCTTCACATGCTGTGAGATGGAGGGAGCAAGAAGTCATGGTCTGGCCCTTAGGGACAGGGGACAGAAGTGGGCCAGGACTCTGGCCTTTGTGTTGTAGACCACCTGTGTGCTCTCCAGACACTGGTTCCCTCCCTCTGCCCCAGGAAAAAATGACAACAGCTGTAATGACCTATTCCCTTGCAGGCAGGCAGCTTGGGGGTGAATTTCTGTGTACTTATATGGGCTTGGAGGGGAGATAATACGTGTGTACCCCACCATAAGGAGTTTTCAGAAGCTGTACTGAGAACAAGGCCATGGGGACATTTTTTTTCCCTTGGGGAAGGGGGCAGCTTGAGCTATCTTTTTGTTAGCCAGAGCCTTCTAGAAATTTGTGTCATAAAGATCAGACCTTGGGGCTGGGGCTATAGCTCAGTGGTAGAGCACTTGCCTATCATGTGTGAGAGTGCACTGAGTTTGATCCTCAGCACCACATAAAAATAAATAAAACAAGGGTGTTCTGTCCATCTACAACTAAAAAAATATTTAAAAAAGAGCATATTTGGGGATGCTGTGGCTTTTTCTGGACTGAGAACCTCCCACAGATGAGGATGGTGACTGGGGCTCCTTCTCACCCAGCCCCAGCACAGGGCCTGACATGTGGACTCAGGAGGGCAGCAAGGGTGTATGGTGTGGATTGGGGATATTGGGTTTTGAGAGAATTAAGACAGTACTGAACATCATGAAGGTGTTGGGAGGATGGTTTCTTAGCTATGAGTCTTGCCACTGTGCAAACTTTGCCATTTAAAGACCCTTTAGGGTGCAATGCACATAGGATAGGGAAGGTCAAAGTTACTGTTCCTCCTTGTTCAGTAGGCAAATGGGCCAGGACCACCCAGGGACAGATGGGGGACAGGGCTATTGTCTGTTTGCTTAGGGCCTAGCTGGAAAAAATTCAGGGTAGGCTGTGGTGTGAAGAGATGGGGTGGCCAGGCTTCCAGGGCTAGGAGGCAGAGGTGCTGAGTTCTCTGCTGTACCTGCTCAAAAGGGCTCTTGTTCTGCACACCCTTGGCCCCCACAAACACCCAGCTGTCGCGGAAAGCTAGCTCCTTGGCATTCCTGCTGCCCAGCTCACTGAAAAGCTTCCTGGTCTCTTCATTCATCCTAGCACACAGAAGAAGAAATGTGAGTTGTGAGCTGTCATTGTAGAGGGACAAGACTGAGATTGACCATGACACTCACTTACTTGGTGGCTGGGTCGTCATAGGATGCCACAAACACCAAGGTACCTTCATGTAGTGGCCGAATGAACTTCAACAGATCATTGACATCTGGAGGGTGGCAGAAGGCAGGACCCACTGAGCACCCCTTCTCCTACCAATCCTTGTTCTCTAACTGATAAAACCCAAGTAGGGATTGGCCCCTGGATGTGCCAATGTACAAAGGTATAGGGACAAATTGGTAAGGAAGCTGGGAACATCCTATTACAAAAAACATAGCCTCTGGACAGAGGTAATGATCTTTCCCCTCCTGCTGCCTTTTGGGAACCCAGGCAAGTGCTTGAAAAGCCCAAGCACATGGACACAGGGGAAACTCACCCAGTCATTTTTTTGTCAGTGAAGAAGTAGGAATCTTTGACAGCCACTCACCTCCAGCCCACATGTCGAAGGCACGGGCCTCAATGAGCTCACCGCTGACCCCTGCGTTGAGAGGAGGAAGGGAGTCTTCCTGGGTGAGCTGCCAGAGTCACTCCACTCTACCACCTTGGCCCTCAAAACACACTCAGAACACATTGGATGGGGAGGTGGCAACTGGGATTAGCCTTTCTGGAAGTTTTTCAAACATTCTCCTATTTATCCCCTTGTTGATAGTTGTAGCTCACTCAGAATTGTAGAGCCTCTGCCTGGGATTTGAGGCCCTCCAGGGGCTCCCATGAAGTGCCCTTCAAGTCCCTGGACCCTTCTAGTTCTTCAATGCTATCATGCTTTGGTTCATTGAGTCACACAGACCCCTTCCCAGACCTCCCTGAGAGTTCCTAGAGGGAAGGGTCAGGGAAAACACCCAGAAACCGCCTAGGGAGGAAATGCACAGAGTGCAGGTCATGGCATGGCTTCTACCTCTTTGGTCTCAACTCTGACCCCAGAGCATGGGGAACTCACCATTCACCAGGGCAATGTTCAGCCCACGGCCCACGTTGTCCTTGACACTGCTCATGAGCCTAAAGGGATGGAAGACTTCCAGTGGGCACATCTGCTCCATTCTTCCTTGCACAGCCCTCAGCCCTTGTGGAACCAGTCTCAATTCCACCAGCCCACTTCCCAAACCCCATGTATCCCAAGGAGCTCACATCTTGTCCTCGAGGCAGATCTTGGGTCCGATGACATTGGCAGCCCCACTGACCATGCGGAAGGCTAGGTGCTCCTCAGGACATGGCTGGGGCAGGCCACACTTGTACTTCCTGGCCCGTGGTTCTGAGCAGGGACAGCAGGTATGACCCATGGGCCTGGCCCTGGTGTCACCTAAGATCTGAGTGGGGAGGTCAGGACCAGCCATAGGGTTGAATAAGTGACCATATAGCAGGGAACTCAGTGGGGGTCATGGCTCAGGCTAAGGCCAGGGACACTTCATGGAAACTGTGTTCTGCTGGCAAGGTGACAGGGACTCAAGGAGGCTTTTCTACGCTACTGGTGGGAGAAAAGAAAGGAGGTCAAGAGCCCTTACACAGCCAGGAACAAAGCAGGGGTGGAGAAAGTTAGGTTGGGGACCCAAATATATACACAGGGTACACAGCTAGACCAAAGTGGTAGAACTACAGCAGGTGAGGAAAGCATAGGGATCTGCTAGTTTGATTTCCATAGGGTGACGATGGGTGGGCAGCCTGTTATGGGTTGAGCTGTGTTCCCACACAAGACAAGTTGAAGCCCTGACTCCAAGTATCTCAGAATGTGGCCTTGTTTGGAAATAAGGTCTTTATAGATAAATTAGTTAAGATGAGATCATACTGGAGTAGGTTGAGTCCTGAATGCAACATGACTGGTGTCCTTATAAGGATAACAGACAAAGGCACAGTGAAGGAGGCAGCTGTATGACAATGGAGGCAGAGATTAGAGTGACATAGCCACAAGCCTTGTTGATAACTTGATTTCAGAGTTTTGGCTTCCAGAACTGTAAGAAAATACATTTCTGTTGTTTAAGCCACCAACTTTGTGATACTTTGTTATGGCAGCCCCAGGGAATTGATGTAGATTTTGGTACCAGGAAGGAGGGTGCTTATGTGGCAAATACCTAAACATGTGGAAATGGCTTTGGAGCTGGGTGGTGGGTATATGATGTAGAATTTTGAGGTGCATGGTAGAAAGGGCCTAGATTGCCTTTAAAAGATTGTTGGTAGAAATATGGACCATAAGCTGTGGGTGGTGTTACATGTCTGTAATCCCAGAGACTCAGGAGATTGAGGCAGAAGAAGCACAAGTTTGAGGCTAGCCTCAGCAATTCAGCAAGGTTCTAAGTAACTTAGCAAGACCCTGTCTCAAAATAAAAAAAATAAAAAAAGGCTGAGGATGTAGCTTAGTGGTAAAGTGCCCTGTTTTAAATCTCATCCCCCCCAAAAAAGAAAATGGATTATAAAGATGATTCTGATGAAGGCTCAAAAAGACAAGAGAGCTACAGAGAAAGCTTCTATTGTCTTAGAGAATGTATATGTTATCACAAACAAAATGTTGTTGGAACTATGAACATTAAAGGTACTTTTGGCCTGGGCATGGTGGTGCGCGCCTATAATCCCAGCTATTGTGGAGGTTGCAATATGAGCATCATATGTTCTAGGCCAGCCTGGGAAACTTAGAGAGACCTGTCTCAAAATAAAATTTAAGGACTGGGGTTGTGGCTCAGAAATACAGTGCTCGCCTAGCACATGCGAGGTGCTGGGTTTGATCCGCAGCACCACATAAAAATAAATAAATAAAATAAAGGTATTGGGTCTAATCAGAATAAATAAATAAAATAAAACTTAAAAAAGAGCTGGGGATGTGGCTTAGTGGTAGAATGTTTGCCTAGCATGTGTGAGGCCCTGGGTTCAATCCCCAGCTCTAAAATTAAAAAAAAAAAATGTGCTTTTGGTGAAATCTCAGAGGGAAATAAGGAACATATCACTAAGCATTAGAGGAAAGGCCATCCTTCTCATAAAGTGGCAAAGAACTTGGCTGTCTTGTGGTCTAGTGTCTTGTGGAAAGGAGAACTTAAGTGTTGAACTTGGATATTTAGCTGAAGTGATTTCTAACAAAGTTGAAGGTGTGGCATGGTTTCTCCTTGCTGCTTACAGTGAAGTGTGAGAGCAGAGAGAGAAATTGAGGAAAGAATTGTAAACCATGAAGGAACCAGAATATAAAGATTTGGGATATCAGCCTAATCATATTGCAAAATGAGAAAGCATCCTCTAGAGAGAATACTAAGGGTGTGTGGCTGGCCAAGCATTTGCTTAAGAGATGAGGTGGGCAGCCTGTGGGTACACTCCATCCTTTCAGAAATCTGGACTTGAAATGTGGTTATCTAGGTAGGATCTGTGGAGAACTCTCATCTTATAACTTGGACCCTCATGAATTGTACAAGAGACCAAAAATGGTTTTGTTAGTATTTTATACCAGCAGAATTACTGACAGTCTGAACTGAAAGGGACAGGTGATTCTGAAGACAGACCTGGGGATGCAGAGGCCAGAGAGGGTACAGAACCAGACAGTGAGAACATGTCTTGTTCCAGAGGAGAGGGTCACCCCAGCAGGCCCAGAGAGTAGAGCATCAGACCATAGAGAATTCTTAGGCCTTGAAACCTTGCCTGCTGGGTTTGGGGTCTTCTTGGGATCAGTGATTCTTTTTTTTTCCTCAAAATTATTCTTTTTGGAATAGGAATGTTTACTGTAAACCTGTCCCACCACTGCTTTCTAGCAGCAGGTAAGTTGTTTACTAGGTTCACAGCACAGCTGGCTGTGATAGCTAGTTTGGGGAGGGAGCGATGGAGAGCAGAAATGCTGGGGGGCTAGGGGAAGCGGGGTGTTACAAAGGCAGTTTGAGGGGCAGGAAGAGGGGAGAAGCTGAGAGGTAACAGGAACCTTACCTGCAGTCACAGAGCTTTCTGGGCCTGTGGGTACAGAGAATTGTTTTTGTTAGCATGGAGGCCTCCAAGAGCCTACAGCAGGGCACTGAGGCTCAGGGGCAAGGGACTAAGCCAGGTTGCCCTTGGCATGCTCTCTGCTTATGCCTAAGTGATATTCATATGCAAAACTTAACACCATTTCTGCTCCAGAAAGAGGGTGAACTGGAATTGTAAAGAATGGTCAGGTGATGTATCACCAGTCACCTTCCCCATCTCAGAGCCCAGCAGACAGCCTGTAGGCATCAACCAGGGTGTCATTCCCAACTTTTAGTGGAAGCTTTCTCATCCCTTACTCTGAATTTACTAACTCCACTGGACACATGGCTATAATTAGTGGGTGTTGCTTTTCTAGCTGAAGCAGCCAGAGGCACCCTGCGGGGGAGGGGGTGGAGAACCCAGTTGCCTGCATCCCACCCTGGGCATCTGTCCCAAGACCAGGAGGCCACCCTGGGGACCTCTGCAGCGAAGCAAGGGAGGGTCCCACACTCACTGTTGAAGAGTTGCTGGATGCGAGGAAATCCACTGCCAGGCCCACCCAGGAGGATGCTGACTATGATCCAGGTAAGACCCACAGTGACAACTAGGGCCACGATGCGGAGCGGGCCTGGAGGCAGGACAGACACGGGGCAGGCCTACCTCAGATGCTGGTGACCTCTGGAACCATCCCATGACCCCTCATGATGAGATCTCCCCTTCTGCTTGGGAAGAAGTGACCAGAGGATAGGGGGTTGGGAACTGACCCCATCCAGCAGGCCCAAGAGGGAAACTCAAATTCCCTGGCAGGTGGACGGACGAAACTGACTTCAAACTTCCAGGCTTCCCTGGAAGGGTTTCCTTGGAAGGTTTGAAGGGGCTTTTCAGAATTCAAGTGTTCCAGAGGACTCTAAGGATTCTCTTCTAGGACCTTCCTCAGCTTCCTGCCTTTGAAACCACCAATGGATACCTTTGAGACGACCAAGGCCACCCCTTTTCTTGTTCGCGGGTGTGTGTGTGTGTGTGTGTATGAGAGAGATGCTGAGGATCAAACCCAGAGATTGTACATGCTAGGCCAGAGCTGTGCCACTGAGCCACATGTCTAGCCTCTTTCCTCCTATTCTGATGGAGGGTCCTTATGCCTTTTGACGACCAGTCCCTTCACTAGCTGCAAACTGGATCCTTGTTTCCCTTCCCTTCTCAGATTTCTTGTAATAGGGATCTTTATCCTCACCCTCCCACATTTCAATATTGCTAATTTTAAGACTGAAAGAAGAAAAAGCTGTCCTTCAAAACCCCATCCTCATGCTATTTACCCTTGCCTTCCTTTTCTCCATCAAACTTTACTTAGGTTTTTTTTTTTTTTTAATGTGGTGCTGGGGATCACACTCAGTGCATCACATGTGATAGGCAAGTGCTGTACCACTGAGCCACAACCTCAGCCCTCCCCATCAAACTAAGTCAACTATAGGAGCTGGGGATGTAGCACAGTTGTAGATTGCTTACTTAACATGTGTGAGGCCCTAGGTTCAATCACAGTCCCCCCACCCAAAAGTCAACTACAGTCTGCCTTTCCATCATCTTATTTCCCACACTCTCCACAGCCTGCTCCAATTTGGCCTTGCACCATCCCAACCAAATATCTGGTAGCCAAGGCCACCCATAAATAACTGTCATGATGTCATGCCCCCAGTCATCTATTGGCTTTGATCTTCCTTGACCTGTTAGTGGACTACTCATGCCCTCCTGATGAAAACAATTCCCCGCTGGCTTCCAGGAAAGCAGTCTCCTGACCTATATGCTGCTTTTTCTCCTTGGTTAGATGATCTTCCTCTACCTCCCCTTAAGCTGGACAGAAGGGCTGAGTGGTAGACTGCTGGTGTAGAATGGATGAGGCCCTGATCCAGGTAAGACCCACAGTGACAAGTAGGTCACTGAGAAAGGGGGAGGGTGGAGAAAACTGGACAGAGGCTGCCTTCTTATCTGTACCAGGCTGCCTTCTTATCTGTATCTGTATTTTCTTTTTTGGTGATTTTATCTACAGCCAGGTGTTGAATTAACAATATGTAATGATGACTTCTTGTTGTCTACCTCCAACCCTGAGCTCTGTTGTATCTCCACCCTCCCAGTCCCTTCCTCACTACCCAGATCCAGTTGGTAAGTACATCAAGCTGTGACCTTAGCAGATCTGAACTCCAGTTCTTAGTTTCTACTTTCCATCTTATCCCAGCCTATCCTTCCATAAGGCATCTTTATCTTAGTTGTGCAGCTGATACCAGAGCTGTCATTTGGGTTCATATCCAACCGTACAGGCAGCTTTGTCAGTTTTTGTTTAAGAGTAGACCTCTCCATCGGTACGCTGCACCCATCTGCACCCCGCTGCCATGCTCTCTGGAGCCTCTGTCACAACTCATTTCCCAAAAAGCTGTCGGCTTGTTATCTGAGTTGGGTGAAATTTATATAATCCTTTATCTTATAGTTTGGGAAGCTGAAGTCCTCAGGTGAGGATTTTTCAAGGTTACCGAATAAGTGTTCGTTCACAGTCCTCCATTTTCTCAACCAACCCCAGTGGTTCACCCGGACCCTTCCTGACACAGATGTCGGGACACCTGGGCCTTCCTCCCGTTCGCCGTGGAAGCCACCCACCTGCCAACCTCATGTCCACTTCTCCCGCTGGGTTGGGACCGCCGGCAGGTGCACTGTTTGGGGACAGTGCGCTCTGGGGGGAACAAAGGAGAAGAGCAGGTTTGGGCAGGGGCCAGGGGCAAGTCTGTCCCGGGCCTCTGCTGGGGGGCAACACAATCGGTGTTACGTTGTTTCTCAAACCAGTCCTGAACGTGTCCAGGAGGGGCATCGGGAACCCGCTGGCAAACAGAAGCCTCCGGGACTGGGGCGCAGAAGTGGGTGTCTCGGACTCAGGTCACTCCCGAGAGAAACTCGGGGCTAAGGCCATTCCTCCCGAGGCTGAGACGGAGACCGGGCTGGCCGGGGACTTGCCTGGCCGTGGGAAGACGTGGGCCCGGTCAGGGAATGCCCCGTTGGGCCGGTGCCCGGCTCTACTCGGGGAGGAGAAGCTGCTGCGCAGAGGAACCCGGCAGGCCTGGCAATGGCGGCCGGGGGAGGGGCCAGAGCTCGCAGGCACCGCCCGCCAGGGGCCGTGCCACGAGGGAGCCACAGCCCCGCGCAAGCTCCACCTCCAAAGCCGCCAAGTGGGAGGAACTGGTATCTACCCCGCCCCCTCTGTGCGGGCAGCCTCAAGGAACAAACAGGGGAGCGCTAGCGCACCAACTCAGAAAGGTCTACTCCTCCAGCCTGAACTCTCTGTCCTCAACTGCGCCCTGATCATTACCGCACTGGGAGGGCTGGGAGTACTCTGTCAGCTGTTCCCATATGTCTGGAAGACAGCAGCTGGGCAGAATCAAAACAATATCCCTAACCTTTTGCCGCAGTCTGGCTGGGCACACAATCATGAGCCACCACACAGCTTGTAGATTCAAACAGCAACTCTTTATTCTGGGGAAATCCACGTTCTCTGCCCAAATCCACCTCCACTGGGCTTCTGTCTCCCAAAATATACTGTCTGAATCCCGTGAGAACTCAAGGGGAACTCAGGCAGCAGGATACGCCCTATTCCCAGCAGGAATAATCTTAAACCTTAAACCTGGAACCTAAACTGGGAACGCCCTAAACACGATTATCTTAAAACCGGGAACACCCTAATCTGCCTTGGTCCTTGAGCAAGGTCACCTACATTCAATGTCACTGCAACATGTCAGCAACATGGGGTACGCTGGCAAGGAAATTGTCATACCTACTTGGCTAATGGCTCCCAGCAACCTTTGACCCGGTGGTCAAACTTAAGGACCTCCTTCCTTAGGAAATAATCCAAAATACAATTTATAGAGCCAGGCATGACACTACTCTGGTTAGAATCCAGTAGATTCTAGTTTGACATACACAACACACTCTCATACACACTTCTCGCAAACATGATCAAAGTGATCTATTTTAGCAGTCAGTCTTCTGTGATGGTCCTGGATTTGTATTTGGGTTTTGTCACCAAATTTGGTGGCCTCTCATATTTCTCTGGTACCAAACATTGGGCCTTATGGTATCCTCAGTGGGGCCCAGTACAAGTAGCTGTCAGTTATGTACATCCCTGAACCAACAACAAGGCCCAAGTTCCTAGATAATAGTGTTTATACCTTGCCTGCAGCACACAAGGAAAAGTTGATTTAATGAGTCCTCTGAGGGTCCAGACACAACTCCCCCCTTCCATAGAGACACCACACAAGTGATATGCATTGAAGGACAGCCTGCAGGAGTCCCTTATTTTCTCTGGGACTTCTTTTTGGTGTTAGGGATTAAACCGAGGACCTATATAAGTTGCTAAGCATATACTCTACCACAGAGCAGCAACCCAAACCCTGGGACTGTTTCCTGATGTGCATACAGAAAGAGGTTACACTTGAACCCCACAGCTCTTCACCCTATCCACCCTGCTTGGTGCTGACCATTGTGCTACATAGAACACATATGCCCTGTCCATATTCCAGCTTTTCCTGTTGGGACTCTTCAATCCCCATGAAGGTTGACAGACTGAGGGACACTGTCATTTATCATTCAAAGTCAGCATTTGACTCAAGACAGTTCCAACAGTTCTTAAATAGCACACAACACAAAATGGGAGTGGGAAGGCTGTGACAGGTGTCTCTAGACCTGTTAGGTGTTCTTTTCACAATTTTATGCAGAAGAAAAAAAGTATGCAAACAATTGAATAAAGTTTTGGGGATACCTGCTTAGGAGAACATAAAATGGATATAAACTTAAAGAGAAAGGGCTGAAGCCTCCACCAACGAGAGCAGAGACTGAGTCCTCAACAAACAGAATTTTTTTCAGTTGTTGGCCAATAGGATGTCAGCAATTCTAAGGCTTGGGAAGAGGAGAATGTCATTGAGGGTACAATTAGAAAAAAGGAAGTTTGGACTGACAAATACCATAGGATAATAAGTGTACAGAAGCATAAAATAATACTATATATATTTGTATTGGAATTAAATATATATAACATAACATTTGACAATCTAAATATTCAATTATACTTTTTGTTGTTAGTGCTGGGGACCAAGCCTTGTGTATGCTAAGCATATGCTATATACCACTGGGCTATACCCCCATACCTTAGTTATTTTATTCTTTATTTTTGGGTACTGGGGATTGAATCCAGTGGTACTCTACCATTGAGGTACATCCCCACCTCTTTATGTTTTACTTTGAGATAGGGCCTCCCAGGCCTTGCCCAGGCTGGCCTCCAATTTGTGAATTGCCTACCTCAGCCTCCCCAATCACTGGGATTACAGGCATGCACCACTGTGAACAACTGTAATGTCCTAATTCTTTATTTTTTTCATTTTGAAGTAATTATACACTTATAGAAGTTGCAAAAACGGTGCTCTTGTAGCTCCAGCTTTCCTCAGTGGTGATATATATATAGCTGTAGTACAGTATCACAACCAGGAAAAACACATTGGCACATTACTGTTGACTAGAAAATAGACTTTTTTTTTAAAATACTACTGAGGATTGAATCAAGAGCATTCTTCCACTAAACTACATCTCCAGCCCTTTTTTTTAAAGTTATACATGTACACAATATCTTTATTTTGTTTATTTATTTTTATGTGGTGCTGAAGATCAAACCCAGGGCCTCACACATGCGAGGCAAGTGCTCTACTGCTGAGCCACAACCCCAGCCCTCCAGCCCTTTTATTTCTCCTCCTCCCCATCTTCATTTTTGGTACTATGGATTGACTGGGTCTTACTAAGTTGCTAGGGTCTCCCTCAGTTGCTGAGGCTGGCCTTGAACTTGTGATCCTCCTACCTCAGTGTAGGAGGGATCATTGGTGTGCATCACCATGTCCAGCTAATTATTATTACTTTGGGGTACTGGGATTGAACTCAGGGACACTTTACACTGAGCCAAATCCCCAGTCCTATCTTTTATTTTATGTTAAGATAGGGTCTTTTTCTAAAAAAAAAAATTTATAACTTTATTTTATTTGTTTTTTTTAATGTGGTGCTCAGGATCAAACCCTGTGTGCCTCAGCTGTGCTAGGCAAGGGCTCTACCATTGAGCCCCAGCCCCAGCCCCAGGGATGGTGTCTTTGTAACATGCTGAGGCTGGCCTCGAGTTTGTAACCCTCCTGCTTCAGCCTCCCAAATTGCAGGAATTACAGCTGTGCACTACTGTACATAGCACAGTAGACTACTTGTCCAGCATGTGCAAAGGCACTGGGTTAAAGTCCCAGCCCTGCTAAAAACAAAAACATTGGAAACGGATTTAAGTCTGTGTTCTAAGCCTGGTTCACTGATGTACACCTGCAATCTCATTTGTTTGGGTAGCTGAAGCAGGAGAATCACAAGTTTGAGATCAACCTGCACAATTTAATGAGACCTTGTCTCAAAATTTAAAAATAAAAGAGGTGGGGATATAGTTCAGTGGAAAAGCCCTCAATCTCCAGTGCTTTTCCACTGAGCTATATCCCCATCTCCAAAATAATAGTAATAATAATAATAATAATAATAATAGTAGTAGTAGTATTTGTAGGAATAATTTGAGGTCTAAGGAGGAAGGACTATTTCTCCCAAGATGGTTCACTTGCTTCTGCCAGGCCCCAGGGGTCGTGTTCATCTAAGACCCCCTTAAATCAAGTGAAAGGTTCAAGGTTCTCTGGACACCCCAGGCAGTTTGAGCCCTGGTTCTGTTGCAGTTCTGGGCTTAGTCTCACCCTGACAGTGTAGCCATTTGGGCCCTCAGGATTTGATATTTTTCATGATTCGGTTGCTGACCCCTTACTTTATAAGGCTGTCAAGGAAAAGTTTATGGGCAAATGCCTCAGGGCAAAGGCAAGTGTGTGGGGGGCGCTAATTTATATCACTGAGTTCTAGTTTTCTCTGAACATTTGGCCTTGTAAATTCCTTCCTTATGGAAAGCCAGAATGTAGTTAGCTCCTTGTTTCTGCAAAGATTCCTTGAAGCATTGAAGTGAAGCAAAGGGTGAAGCTCTAGGAGGCAAGAGACCTGTATCAGGGCCTCCTCTCTGGTCCTGGGGTGTGGCTCTGGGCTAGTCTGATCAAGTCTCAGAGCTTTGGTTTCTGAGTTTCTCCTTTTGTTGTATAAGAAAGATGATCTCTTCTGGATATTTGAACTTAGTGAACTTGGAGGCTAACGCCCCACCCCATTCGTGCCCTTTTCTCTTTTCTTTCTTCCTGTCCTACTTTTTAAAAAAAATTTTTAGATGTTGATGGACCTTCATTTTATGTATTTATGTTTATGTGGTGCTGAGGATTGAACCCAGTGCTCACATGTGCTAGGCAAGTGCTCTACCACTGAGCTACAGCCCCAGCCCTGTGTCCTGCCTTCTTTACTTTCTACTCTATGGGGGCAGGCAGGGGCATGTGCAGATCCTCTCCATCCCTGCCATCTGTGGCTCAGCCACTAGCAGTGGGCTAGGTTTAGATTAAGGGATGGAGTGAGTGGGAGTTTTCAGTGTTCTTTTGTCTTCTCATTTTGCCAGAGCTAGTACCCCAGCACGGCAGACTTCCCTTGGTGTGAGTGTGGGAAGTCAAGCTTCCTGTTCCTGGGACTCAGTCTGAAGGGGTCAGGCTACCTTTGAAATGCTCATCCAGCTCAGTACTTTGCAAGTCTAGGCTAGGA